TGGGCCTTTTTGATGACCTTGAAGGGCTCTACTTAGGATTGGTTCCACCAGTTACGAACAAGATCTATTTATACCTTTAACATATTTAGCTCTTTGTTCATGAATCAATTTTTTAGTGCTCGAAATCATGAGAAAACCTCCTCACACAAATCAATATGCATCAGCGCGAGAGTGCATCCTTGAGGGACTATGTAGCTCGGTACGCGCGAGCTTTTGTAGAGGTTCCTTCCACGTCGGAGGAGATCAAAGCAGGAGGTCTCACACAAGGTCTCTAACCGGGTCACTACCGAAATTCTCTGGCTAAGAAGCAAGCTAGGTCATATAACAAGAGAGGTGCACCAAATATATGAACATGGAGGAGACTGAGACAGACTTTCTTTTGAATGATCGAGCTAAGGGGAAGAAGCACGAGGAGAGGCACAGATCCAGAGGCGGTCGGGATGTCGAGATGCTAAGGACGATGAGAAATGGTGTATGGGATTTAAGTATGAGCGCTATACACCACTGGCGTTCCCAAGAGGTCAGGTGTACGAGACGCTAGAGAAGCGAGGAGATACTAGCATATTGGGGAAGCCTCAACCTTTACCTAAGAGGAATGGAAAAGTGCCTGTCAGAGGAGATCTTTTTTGTAGGTACCAACGTGATTACGGGCATTAGACGAACAACTATAAAGAGCTCAAGAATGAAATAGAGAGGCTTATAAGAGCAGAACATCTGAAGGAGTTTGTCGTCCAGGATAGTAAGAAGAATGACGGTATGGAGGTAGGAGATAAAAGAAGAAGGCCGAAGGAACCAGGTGAGGCCTCCCAAGGAAGGGGTGATACACATGATTGTTGGGGTCGACAAATGGTTATTTCAACAATGTTAGGCGAGTTAACCTGAGATGTGCTTGGGAAAGTGTAGCGAAGGTCCAAATTGCTCACGACGTGCTGGAGTTGAAGTTTGGAGCTAATGACTCGGAAGGTATCTTGGTTCTCCATAATGATGCTTTGGTGGTAACGACAGAAATTGCGGGTTATGACGTTGAAAGATCTTGATTGATATTGGGAGCTCAGCGGACATCATGTTCTTCGAGTGTTTCAGGCACATGGACCTAGATACTGAGATCAAGCTTATCTAAACCTCTTTGTTCGGCTTCAATGGGGCCGACGTGGTGCAGTTACCAATTGCTTTGGGAGCTCCCCTCTAAGAAAAGTTAAGATGGTACAATTTTTAATAGTAAAGGCGGAATCAGCTTACAATGTCATCCTAGGTCGGCCGAGCTTGAACTCTTTCCAGGCAACTGTGTCGACTTATTGCATGAAAATGAAGTTCCCGATGGCAGACCTAGCGTACAGCTAGGACTTGTTATCAGATAGTTCTAAAGGCGGGATATAAACAGAAGTGTGAGAGGGAGAGCTCAGTAAGGAAAAGGAGGCCTGCACAGAAATGATTCCCTAGGACGAGTTAATGAAAATCGAGCTGGTCGAAAAGAGCCAGGGAAGATTTGAAGGTTGGAAACACATTGGCGGACGATTTTAAAGTTGATGTAGTTAATCTGTTGAGAGAGTAATGTAGGGAAGCGTACGAGTGGGACGATATTACTGAGATCGCAATCTCAAGAACATCGAACATGATACCAAATCATATTTTCATTCAATAATTCATAATCAACAAAAGAAAATAAACTAGAGAGAGTCCTTTATATAAGTATCATAACCTTAAACCTTAACTTGTCCACCAAGCCACTAAATAATAATATAATAATACTAGTCTACCTTCGTCCTCGAAGCCGATGCGCTCCTGTGGCTGGCGTGTGCTGTCGAATCCATGGTAGGAAACCCCCGTCGTTTTCCCTGGTCAAACACGAATGTTAAACCTCGCTCAACCAATGAAACACTCTTGATTTTCATCAAACAGGGATACGACTACAGTCGTCTCACCAGCATCAGCAACAAATACCACAACAACAAATTCCAAGACTCTTGGGAACAACCAAGAACCAGCACATCTGCCTTCAGGATCAAATCCCACACAAAAACGTGATACCACATATCACATGAATAACAAGTAATGGATATACCAATATTTGAATATACATCAATTGTCATCGATCCATTACGAATTTTGCAGCCATCGTCATCCATGCAAACAACTGCATTTTAATCGATTCCCATGTCCCTGCAATGATTTTTTTCCATCATCAGAGGCTCTTCATCACAGATCGATGGACCGTCGTACAATGGCCCATCAACTTGCTCTCCATCGAATTCGGGGATGTCAACGCAAAACGGATCCTCCCATCGACCATATTCGCGATCAAATTCCCTATGCATAGGCCTAAAGTCTTCGACTCCTTGACAGGCCCAAAAAAAGCACCCAAAATCCAAACCGTGTCGCTGCCAGTCGAACCCCGCGAAGCCGGCACCATCACGTTCAAGTCCCCATCCGTGTCAGGCACGATATCTGCGGGCGAAGGCAGCCTCCTTGCGCTTGCCTCTGTCGCTGCATTGATAGTTACCGTCCTTGAAGACCGGGCCCCATCGCCGCATGTCACGACCGTCGTATGATAAGACTCGGTGCACCTTAGCCATTCGTCATTGGCCACACGGACCTCGAATGGCTCTACCTTCGTCGTTGGCAACTTCAACTTTTGAGATAGCGTGGCGTTGATGAAGTTGTATGACGATCCGTTGTCTACTAGCACGACGGTCCTTGACACATGCTGGTAGCCGCATCGTCCTCGGTCTTCGGGTGCCTGCCATTGCGTGCATTGAGATCTCGGCTTTCTCCTCGAGTACCTCAACCTCGACCTTGCTCTCTAGGTGCTCCTCAATCTCAGACTCCTCCTCATCCGAGTCGATAACGTCGATCAGCATCGACGTGCGGAGGTCGATAATCGCCGAGGGGGTTCACCTCCGAGATTGTCTCCTCGTCGTCTTTGTCGTCGAACGGTGGTTGTAGAGATCTCCCGCAGGGCGCCCCGCCTGGACCACGACCTCCACGTCCTACACGAAATCCCCCACGCACTCCCCGGTTGCTGGTGTCACGATTCGTCTGCAAATCCTCAATCATGTTGTTGATTGTAAGAAGACTTCTTTGATCCCCGTCTAAAGATCCTCAACACAACGATCCAATTGATTAATCTGGCGGCCGAAGCTCGTAGCTTGTTGACTCGGGTACTCAATGGTGGCGTCACGTCTGTCGATGTCGTCCTTCTGCTGCGGCATGCTGAATCGTGCTGACTTCTGATACTAACTGATGTAGGGAAGCGTACGAGTGGGACGATATTAATGATATCGCAATTGCAAGAACAACTTACGATATCAATTCATATTTTCATTCATAAACAACCAAGAAAAATAAACTAGAGGGAGTCCTTTATATAAGGCTTCTAACCCTAAACCTTATCTTGTCCACCAAGACACTAAAATTATAATAATAATCATATTAAATGCTAATAATAATAATAATAATAATAATAATAATAATAATAATAATAATAATAATAATAATAATAATAATAATAATAGTCTACACCAGAGAGTATGTGGATATCTTTGCATTTTCACCAGAGGAGCTCGTGGGCATTGATCCTAGAGTGGCCGAGCACAGGTTAAACGCTGACACCAGAATGAGGCCCATTTAACAAAAGAGACGACATTTCAGAGCTGAGCGGGGCCGCGGCGGCCGCTGTATCCGACGAGCGCGAGAGGACCCTGAGACGGCCCCGTTTGGTGTGGAACCTGCAACTCACAAGCGTTCATGGACGGCGTTCATGGGGAGGTTACGATGGATTCTGCAATTAGGGTTCATTAGGGCACATAGGGGGCGAGGGATTCTGCTATATATGAAGTTTTTGGTTTCTCCTTCTGATTATGCAATTAGGGTTCTCGCTGTCATCTTCCCAACATCAACCAATTCCTCTAAATGGTAAATCTTGTAAATAATTTAATGTAAAAGAGCTTTTAAGGCATTTGTCAGAGCAATTAAAGGACAAAATAATAATTTTAACTCAGGAAGATATTAGGATAAAAATATCCTAAATCCAAGTCGGGACAAAATTATCAAGAATAACCGGATTAGTTGATGGGCCACCACATGCCACGTAGATCAAATCCTATGTGCTATCAAGGATAATAAACGTTGAATAAGGCCGATTAAACTAACAATATCCTGTCCGTGCCAACTAAGTAAAAGAGCCCTAAGAGCATCTCCAATGGACTGTTAATTGTGGGATTGTAGAAGTGGTACGATAAAAAACTTCTCCAGCAGTCATTTTTTTACTTCTATTGGCGGTGATGTGGCATGAGAGAGACAAAATAATTCTAGAAGTCTTTCTACATGTGAAAGTACTTCTAGATTTGATGACTCACTTTTTTTCCTTTATTTACTTTTTTTATCTTTAATTAAAATATATAATTATGTTAAGAAAAAGGCTTAAACTGCCAACACACGAGAATTTTGCGGGAACTAGAGAATTGGGAAAGAGGAAAAATTTATGCAATGATTATTTTATGGAATGATTATTTTATTTGCTAAAACATGTATCTAGTATATACAAAAATATTAACTAAAATTGAAGAAATTTTCAATGGATAATCTAAGTCGTTGATTAAATTATAATTTGTTGGTATTTATTTATACACACTTTATCAGAAAAGCATATTAATTTACATAAAGAAAAATAAAAAAAAAAATTGATGCATTTCTAAAATTATATTATAAATTTAATGATATATATTTTATCAAAATTATACATTATTAAAATATTTAATACAACAAAGTTTGTGATTGGTTCAAAGATTGTTCATGGTTTAAGGTATTTTTTATGTACAGACATTAAAGAGTGATTTAGTTCATTCAGTCCACATGGAGAGAAAACCTTCTATTTGATTGCCTTGTAGACTACAATTCACGCCCACTATTAGAAATGCTATAAATATCTCTAATATTAACTCCTAAGACCGAATTAGTATTACACTTCATTTAATCCACACACAATGACACAAATTTCCAGCCGTACACTTGTTTTTAATAATTTTGTTTTATTGTCATATTTTACCAATCTAAGCTCCCACACTCTAAAGTGAACTTTGCCTTTATCCCGATTTTTACTAAGTTTTGTCATAATTTCTGCAATGGCCGTCTCCCCTATATTCTTGGAATCGGGAAAACTAGTAAAATCAAATCTTGGATCTCGATAACCAATTTTGTAAAAGAAATATGGTGTTTAAACTCCAAGCTAAAACACCCCTCGTTTGGCCATCCCCTAAATTTTCGGCAATTCCACCCCGTAAAAGGAAATGTATTTTCAAGATTTTTTGCTGCGAGAAGAATGTTTCTTCTTCTGATTCTACGAATGAGAACAAATTTGGATTCAAGCTGGTGAGCCAGGCACTGGGTGACAAAAATTGGAAATTCAACGATATTGATGCAAGTGAGTTCAAGAAGTTATTTCTCTTTATTCTCTGCCTTTTAGTTTTATATTTTAATATGTTTGGAGTAAGGAATGTTCTCTGTTAATGACCTCGCTGATGGGCTTTCAGTACTCAGACTTCAAGTCCTAGTACTTATATTCCTGATTGTTTGTCAGAATGAAGTTTGATTCCCCTTCTTAAATAATGTTTCCTACTTTTGGATTGATCAAGCATTTTCTGCAAATTGGTTGACATTTTAAGAAACTTATTATAAATAGGAACAGTGTTGGTTGATAATTCGACTGAATATGCCCGTAATGCCAATTAAAACAATGATAAATCAACTTAGTCACACTTGTATTGTGGAGATATATGCTTGAGAATTTTGATCACTTTCTGGGTTTAAGCTTTTGGAATTGTATGCTTATCTCATGTGTTATTTCTTCCCCCTCTTTTTACGTGGGCAAATATGGTGTACATGCGTAGTTCTTGTTTTATGCTGTAATGATGCTGAAGCAGTTAAATTTCTTGCAATTGGGCTTATTTTAATGGTTGTTTAAGCAAATGGCTATTCGGGACATTATCAAACCACTTCAAACCACCATCACATTGTACACATATTATATAACAGAATTGTGTTTATTGACAGATGCAATGCAAGAATCGGTAAACCAGTGGCTTTCAAAGACCCAAAGCTTTTTCAACAACGTCGCTTCTCCACTTGTAAGATCGGTGAATGATAGAAGGCCTAACCTTCAGAATGACAGTGAAGATATGGATGATATATTAATTACTGAACAAACTGTTGATTCTAAAACTCCTGGAGGAGAACTTTCTGAAGCTGCCATTGTCTCTATCGAGCAATTTAGCAGGTAAAGGCTCCTTGTCTTAATCTTTATGCTTTGAACTTTCAGCAACCATCTATTTATTCTCTTGGTGCATGTGAGTGTGTGCTGTTTGTTCCCTGACTTGAGAGTTTCTTGGTAGAACAGAAAATAGCTATCAATTTGGGCCCATTCATATAGATTATTATCAATAGTTTCAGAAAGTTGTGCTCTTGTATACAAGTTGTTATATAGGGATTTTGCTTATTACTTTGTTCGACAGAAAAAACTGATGTGGCTTAGTTTCGGAATTTAAAACTTTTAGCAGGTAATTGGTGAGAGAAATCGACCATGACATATGATCTTCCATAGCAGGAAAATATTCTTGACAATCTTGCTAGTACAAACCCCAATTTTGCTTATTCACTAGGATTCTCCTCATGAGAATGTTCATCTGTAACTTACATGCTTAGAAGCGGATGCTCTTTGTCAAGCTTTGATCTTTAGTCTTGTGTAGACTTGCGTGAACAAACTACTATTTTTTTAATGGTTGGTGAAGTCTATCCATTATTTTATTTTTTAACTTTTTCTACATCTAAGATATGCAGGATGAATGGGCTGACTGGGCAGAAAATGCAGAAAATATTTAAGGCTCTTGTCCCTGAATCTGTATATAATGATCCGCGTAATTTGGTGGAATATTGCTGCTTCAGGTTTTTGTCAAGGAACAGTGTTGATGTTCATCCTAGCCTCAAGGTGTGTAGACTTCCCAGCATTTTGGTTTAGTCTCTCTTTCAATTTATGGATTCTGTTTCTTAAATCTATTTGGTGTATACTTCTTTTATGTAACTTCTGAATTTGGACATATGGTAATTTATCATCAAACTGATTCTAAAGGTCCACATTCTTGTGTATCTTTTATTTGTTTTGTGGGCTTCAAATATTCTTTAGGTGTATCTATGTCTGGTACTATTTTCCCAAAACAAAATATTATTTTGTTATTGGACTATTTATAATTTGATGAATCTCCTTCCCTGGTTTTGATTGTGAGGTTGTATTTAGTCTCATTCCTTTTTCATCAGAAATTAACTATTTCCATCTTAAGAACTGATGTTGTCCAATTAATAAATGATGTTAAGAGGCGCAAAGGTATTGAACAATTCCGTTTTTTGGCCAGAATTTAGCATGGCTTTTAATATTACTCTTAATTTTTCATTTTTAACTATATCAGGAACCTGCATTTCAGAGGCTAGCTTTCATCACCATGCTTGCGTGGCAGAATCCGCACAGGAAAGGAAAGGATAGTAGGGTTAAGTTTCTTGATAAAAATACATTCCATGTAATTTCTGGCTGACCCTGACTTTTTCTTATGTTATGTAATTTGTACAGTAATTTACATTTTGCTTGCATAATTTTTGTTCATTATTCTTTTTCTTGTCATCTGTTTGCTGAACTTGAAGAGGAAGCTTGTGGGGGAAGAGGCATTCATTCGCATTGCGCCAGCTGTCGCTGGAGTGGCTGATATTCCCACTGTACATAATCTTTTTAAAGCTCTTGCTGGTGATGAGAATGGCATCTCGTTTTCTGTATGGTCGACATATATTAATGAACTTATCAAGTGAGCGATACCTTCATTTGGTTCTGCTTCAACGTTTTTT